CTATAGATAAGAATATGAGCTGAACATGGAAACAGTAATTTCATTAGCTATCCAGAGGAAGTCTTAGCACAGCAATAAACGAACATAATTAATTCGAAATCGACGAACAGGAGACTGGGAGGGAACTCATTGGTCCCTTGCATTCTCCAGCGAAAAATTCAAGATGAAAAATGTGGTCAGTGTGACGGCCGCAGTGCATAAGGAGAAAGAAAAAAAGAAAGAAGAAAAAAGAAAGGAGGAAGTGAAAGATGGAAACTGCAAGGTGTATTATGATGCTAGTTGAAAAGTAGTGGATTGCCACAAAAGTAATTTACAATAGTGCTAAACAGAAATAATGCGTAAAAGTGCCAAACAACGAGCGAGCACTTGGCGAGATGAATGGGATGCGGCAGCACATTTTATTTATCTAGTTTATATCGATACGAACTGCGTGCGTTGGGTTTACTGGTCCGGGCGTTCCTTCGACTGGCCCTGTACCGGTGTATCGAGTCAGGTTGCTGGACCCTCAGCGATAACTTGGGGTAGCAGTAGGGTCCAAGCTCACGTAAGTCGTCCACAATACCAAAGCGCTACACTGGGTCGACACTTCACTGGATCGACATACTGCTCTTGATCGTCACTACTTTACAATACAGATACGGCTGCCTTATATAGACCGCTTTTGCACCAATACACGACCTGTCTAGGAGGGAGTCATGATGCAGCAGGCGCAAAGGTTTTATAACTTGTTTTAAGAAATAAGCTGCGGTAAAGTACAGTGTAAGTGAAGCTGAGCACCTCCAGTGCGATTACTTTTAGGTGTTTTTCAGTGTGCTCGAAGTATGCACGGATAATTTTGCGCAGCGAAGAGTTTTTTTGATTGCTGAATTATTTTTCATGCGGTAAAAACTGTGCAAAAGTTTTCCTAGCGCTTCTTCCGGAACATCTCCTACCCGCCCTCCCGGTGCTCATTCTCGGATTTTTCAAAAACTTTTTTCTCAAAAAATTCTGCTTACACTATCACTGAGAACGATTCGCGTTCACTTCCTACGGCCGCTTTTTATGCGTTTTTTGCAGCAATGCAATGCGAACCCAGGCTGGAACGCACCAGGCGGGCCGGT